CATTTAAAAAGACACAGTTGGGATCCGCCCAGAAAAAATCGAACACCCTGTGTGACCGCCAATATTTTTATTTTGTCGAGCTCGAGCAATAAGGTAATATTATAGAAAATTAGATTCCTATCTGCTTCCTATATAGAGATATGGAACACCGCGCCACTGTTGCAGGACCCTGTATATAACGACACAGTAGAATAAATATTTATTAAGATATGAAGCTGCAAGAACACATGACATTTAAACAGACATAACTTTTGAACAACCCAAATCATACTTACATTCATTAAACCCACATAAAACACATTCATAAAAACCGAACTGATGGATATCTGAAATACGAAGTTGTTCTGAGATATGTGAATGTTATTTTGTTGTGGATATTCATTTCTGAAATTTATGATTTATTATTGTCGAATAATATGTCATATTTATCGAAGATGCAATAACGTTCATAACATATGTATACCATTGTTTATACGAACTTGAATAATATTATCAACATTTCTGTATTAGCTGTACAAATTCTATGAAATATAGGTTTCACAACTGATTCAACGAAAAGTGGTAATGCATAAAAATATAACCATTCCAACTTGAGATTCTGTATTGAGTTACCGATGACAGTACATCCTAAAAATAACCAATATATCACCTGAAAATAATGACACTAAAGACAACATCGTCAACTTTATTGAGGTTGGCACGATGTCAACAGAAGAGACGTTAAGATTTTATTACTCAAGTAATTCGAATGTAGGATGAGGAAATTAATAGACTGTGGGGACAAACGTTCAACACATATTGAAAAACAGTTTAATGAATGAACTTGTATGGATTCTCATTACTCCTACGTATATTGAAGATAAAGTGTTTGGAATTGATTCAAGTAACATTTTATTGTGACATTTTCACTGGACAGTATATAAAACCGCAACACATGTTTCACTGTACTATAGCTATCTCAGGCGAATTCATATCGACTGAATTCTACCTAATTAGTGATTCATATAACAATGTTAACCATATGATCTTCTACCTACTCATTGCCTAATAGTTTTATCTGAGTTCGGGTATAAAATAAACTGAAAATTCAGACATCATAAAAGAAATTTTACCAACTGATTGAATTGGCATGTAATAAACTAATTACCAATTTCCACATTAGAAAACAGATTTAACAGAGGGAAGAAATTCAATTATATATGGTAATTCAGTAAATTTTCAAAAGTCTCAATTCTATTAATTGAGAATTACGAAAGATTGAGCTTCAAACCTGTCTCTTCCAAATATAATACGTCGTAGACATTGTTGAACAAGTGTCACTTTGCTAAAGATGGTTTTCAGATGAGAAATTGGTCTTTACATTCAAGAAACTACTCCTACGTTCTTTTATTCTTTGGGAAGAGGTTCTTCCCGTTTGACCAATATGAAGTTTTGGATAAGAAACACAAGTCAACACATATACTCCTGATATATTCGACACTGAAGTTTTATTTTTATTGTTTTTAATGAATTCGCCTAAATCATCATTCGTTCTGCAAGCCATCTCAAAGTCTTTCTGTTTCAAAAAACGATTATTGGTGGGCTTTTTAAAGTATATCATTGTCCTATGACGTGTTTTATCGTTTGTTGAAGTGTGATAGACCTGGTAAATGGCTTGTTTTTATGTTTTTTGGAAAGAATGGAGTCGATATTATCTGCCTTGTAACCGTTGTGAACAGCAATTTATTTGATAAAACTTAGTTCTCTCTGAATTTTTTTTCTGGCAGTGGAATAAAAAAAACAAGCACTTTTCTCAATCACCAGAAATACAATACTCTTCTCGAGGCGCGTTTCACCAATCAAGATGGCGTCTTCAGGAGTTGCGCTTTCTTCATTTCCTAATTCGCAAACGGCAAACAATTATTAGCAACTAAATCAAGATGGTGTTGATGTATCACATATCTTTTTAATTGCAGGGTACTCGTCGGTGCTCCAGAAGCTCAGTCAAGTTATCAAGGTATCGGCAGGGGAGGTGTATATCGAGGAGGAGCAGTTTACAAATGTCGAATAGATGTGGACAACAGGTGCCAAGAAGTGCCGTTTGATAGAACAGGTATTCAATTATTTTCAATTCCTTTCGATGAAAACTATAACTCCTTTAGATATTTTTGTTAAAAGTCATTTTTATTTGAAGTGTCAGTTTTTTGGTATGATGATATTTCATGATCTAGAAGAAAATTAGAAGTATTTACGAACTAAATACGAGTGTAGAGATGAGAAAATATGGGGTCTATCGTGGAAAGATGTGTTACCTGTTTCTAAGGAAGACAAATTTTTCAGTTAGTTGTGTTCTAAAATTGACTGAAAAAATTGAAAAAAAAAGAAAGACAACTCATTTTAAACGGGACGTTTTGGGACACATATCCATTCCCGTCTTCAAAATAAGTAGAAAAAACACACTTCATTTTCGGGGGCATGTACCTATATGAAGGATGATAATGAGCTTTTTTTGGGAAAGAAAGTTTTTGGCTTTCTACTACTCCATCTGATACAAAAAAAGGGGATGAGAGAATCTTCCAAAGAAAGGAAGGAAGTAATCAATTTGAAACTCTATACATGAATGTGTAGATCATGCAAAGAAGTAACTTTCAGATAGGTTAAAATGGACACAAATTTGTCTTGGCACAATGTCGCTGGAATTGCAAAGGCTGCTTCTCAGAAGCTTGGAACACTGTTCCGAATCAGAAAACTGTACACACCTCAGCAACTTTTGGTGCTGAGGTACACAAGGAAAACCTCTCCACACCCTCTGGGTGAGTGACCATTGGACCTGAGTGTCTAGAAGTAGGAACCTGTAATAAAATGCATCCCAAAGTTTCTTCTTGGATTTTTCATCTCCATAATGAATATAATATTATTCCTGGCATTTATTTGTTTTTACTTCCTTGAAATATGATAAAAATGAATAAAATCAGTCAAATAAAAAGGAAAAATGACTAAATTTGCCCAGAATTGGTATTGCGTTCAGATAAAAAATCCAGAATGAATTTAACCAACCTGTCAGTTATATTTTTCACTATTAATTTTGGCTAAATACGTCAAAAACTCAAAATCTTCGAGTTTTCAATAAGAAAAGGAAGTATTAATGAATTCACGCACGCAAGTTTTTAACAATTTTTTCAATGAAGATGGAAAAGTAGTATTCGTTAGTACTGTACTACACTTATTCATTGTAATTTTTTTTAAGTACCTGGGGTTGAATCATTAGGAATTTAACTTTTTTGAAAATTAATATATTGGGTGTTTACTTTGCTTGATAGGAAGAATATGTCATAGAGATTACTCAAGTATCCGGTCTTGGGCCATTACTTTTTAATTATCCATAAATGATTTATGCAACAAATTATACTGCAATAAGTTGTTGTTTGCAAATGATTCAAAGTTATACACCTCTTTTAACGATATAGATGACTGTACTAGGATGCAATAGCAGTTGAACATTTTAAAAGACTAGTGCCGCAAAAACCGTCTCAATTCAAATATTTTCAAATGCCAAACTGTATCATTCACCAGAAAATTCAACACAAAACAATTTTTCTACAGTATCGATGAAACATTCTTGGGAAGAACTAACACTATCAGAGATCTAGCTGTTCCTTTTGACTATCAACTTACTTTTGATAAAATCATATTAATTTTACTGTTAACTCTGCCTTTTACTTTTACGATTTTACTGTCAGAAATTGTAAGAATTTTAATAATATTTTATCTATTACTTCCCTATATTTCAGCATGGTAAAGTCAAAGTTGGTACATGGGTCCTTAAAATAGAATCCCACTTCATTAGTATATATCAAGAATTGAAAAAGTACAAAAACGTTTTCGAAATACTTAAGTGTTGAGAATAATGGCGTGTTTTCTCGAAAAAATTTCAACTATATCAAACTATTGTGAAAATTTAATCTTGTATCTTTCGAAAAAAAAAAAGAAGTCAAACATCTATTTTTTTACATGAGCGGTTGAATGGTAGAATTGATTTTTTGAAATCACTTCCTGCAATACATTTTCTTGTACCAAAATCAACGTCTAGAAATAATAGCACTCTTTCACGCAAAAGAGCTCAAACCAATTCATTGTTAAAATTACCAGTGAATTTGAAGTGCAGTGCCGCATACCTGCTGTCCACCTCATGTGATATATTTTATTGATAAATTGCTTACAAATCCCAACGGGTCTATATCATTCTGATCGGTAGCTAAAGGTGTTAATCAAAACTTTACAAACCCCACAATTCCACCACTAACACAAGCGGATGGTTCAATTGCAACAACAGCCATAAAAAAAGCAAATCTACTAACTGAACAATTTGCGTCCCACTCCACAGTCGATTTTCTGGGAAAGGTACCACCCACTCTCTCTACACTAGTATCAACAATGCCGGAAATTACTTTTCGACAGCATCTACTCAGGCGAATTTTGAATCAGCTCAATGTCAACAAGGCGTCTGGTCCTGTTGAAGTGCCGTCATCGTACCTAAAAAGTGCGCAAATGAACTCGCACCACTATTTTGCAGACTTTTCAACCTGTCTCACACGAAAGAGAAAGAGAAACTATATTGTCTTCAACCCTCTTTCTATTATATATCAACGACTAATTGAAAACCAAGATTCCAATATATCGCTTTGCTGAAGTCAGCACACTTGTTTCATCATTCCAGTTGGATTCCAGGACATCGGCGGCGGATGCAGCAGGAGGTTGCATTTCTTAATGAGGATCTAGAAGTCATTTCGAATTGGGGTGAAAGTAATCAGGTTCAATATAATGCCACAAAACCCAAGGAATCTGTTTTCTCTAAAAAGATAAATGTCTCCGAATCGGATATAATAATGTCAGGTCAAACAATTCCACTTTCTGCTTCGGTAGTTTGTTGGGGGTAAATGGTCACCAATATGTCTTGGCACGATCATGTCGCTGGAATTGCAAAGGCCGCTTCTCAAAAGCTTGGAACACTGTTCTGAACTGTACACACCTCAGCTTGTTTTGATATATTTCATCAGTTCGGACTTCCATTATCTAATATAATATAAATTGATCTGAAATCCCTGAAAAAAATAATGAAAGATTAACCGAAAATAACAATGTTATTAAAACAAAAAACTGATATTACAAGGAAATAACATACGAGCTACAATCAGAAAATAAAAAATTGAAATATTAATAAAAGCTGAAAATTAAAAAATATTATTAACAGAAATAAAAAATAAAAGTTAAAATATTCCAAACCAAATTACGTCACGACGTTTCGATTGTTAGTATCCACAATCGTCTTCGGGTGATAACTGGACTTATTCCTCCGAGATCTGACTATTTATAGGTCATTCGGGTGCTTTCACCTTTCACCTATCCCCTCTTTACTCTTTCCGCTTCAGTGGTTTTAGCGGGAGATGACCGTTCGGCAGGAGTTGGTCGTTTTTCGTTTGATAAGAGGTTTTCATATGTTACGTATCTCTACGCCAGCTTGACTGAATGCGTTGTTGGACAACTTATACACGGCTTCCTTGAATTTTCTCCTTAACCAGTGTTCCTCTTTGTGGATGATTTCAGCTTGAGCCCACTTGATATTATGTTGATGAGTCCAAACATGCTCTGCTATTCCGGCTTTGCTGGTTTTTCCTCGCTGTGTGTGTTTCTTGTGCTCAGCAATGCGAACTTTCGATGGCCTCTTAGTTTCACCGATGTATGATTCTCCGCACTCGCAGGGTATGCGGTAAATGCAATTCTTGGAATCGCAATCCGCGTTTGGTGGTTTAGTTTTTGTGAAGCTGCTACGGATAGTGTTCCCAGACCTGAAACAGGTCCTGATGTTATACTTGGACCCAATCATTCTTTTCCTTTCCGATAATCCTCTGATCTAGGGGAGTACAAGTACTGGTTGTGGCGGTTTCTCTTCCTTGTGGAGAAGAAATAGGCATCATTAAGAATGAACTTCAACGGATTGGTTACTCCAGAGTGATGGTAGAACAGGCTTTAGCTAGAAGACAGCAAGAGCTCCACCATGGAAGTCCGAACTGATGAAATACACCACGAAACATTGTCAACCACCTTCAAAAAAATCTTTTGATATGTCGGGAATGGTAATAGGTGAATTATAGTAATCAGACGGACACAGCTTTTACAAATAAAAACATTTATCAATAACACCAATAAAACGTCAAACAGAAAAATAACAGTGTAACCTCGTGGCGAGAAGAATGAGAATTGGGATTAGTTCCCAGCCAAAATCCCAGAACAGAATGAATGCATTGGCTAAAACATGTGTTCGAAGTTAACTTTTGAAAAATCACCACCGGCAATTATTGTCGAGGTCATAAATATATTCACAGAAGATCAAGCACTTGGGTCCTTGTCTCAATACATGAAAGTCTAATTGGGCCCAGAATGGACCCTTGAGGTACTCCCATATCTACACTGAAAGGCTCAGAATTTATTCTCTCTCTTCTATAGATACTTTCACCGGAAGTGTTCAAGTGACTTGGCACATTTGATTCCACCAAGAGTGGTACATATCAGAAATACTCGACGGACCGTGGCTGCTCATCGTTTTGAGATTCAACTCAGTACACCTCGAACTTCACTGTTTAAAAACTCTTTCATTTGGAGAACTGCGTTCGTTTGGAATGAACTTCTTGAACTTCTGGAGAATAAATCCGAATGGATTTATTCTCCAGCGATTGAAATCCAATGTGAATCACTACTTTCGCACAGGCACCGCTCTTAGAGCGCCTCAAGGAATTTCTCTGAAGTGCTTGTGAGTTATGAATAATTATTAGTGATTCATAGTTGATTCCAATTTTATTTTTTGTTTTACATGAAATTGATTTCCTTTTGTACCTGAATGATATAGTGCTATAATTTGTATAATTGAAATGTTATTTTTTCTCATAAATGAGAATCTGGAAAGTTATTATTATCATTATCATTATTATTATGACTATATGAACCAACAAAATGTCATTTCCAAAAAAGATACTGCAACTATGCACCTAAGTTCCTCATATTTTTTATTACAGACGTGGGTTACAGGACAAGATCCTGAGATCTGTTGTCTGTTTA